CCCCCTGATGGGCAGCGGCCGAGCCGGCTCCTTCAAGCCCAGCCAAAGTTTGTTGTCCTCCCAGAGGCTGCAGTAGGGGCCGGCGGCCGGGCGCTCCGCGCGGAGCTCGCCGCCTGCCAGGGCCCGGCTGATTTTCCTCCGTTTTGTCTTGAGGACTCGCTCGGTCTTGCAGGAAGTGTACAGGGCTTCGACGTCCTCCCTGGAAATCAGCGTGCATTTGGCGGCGTGGAAAGCGATGGAGTTGATGGCTTTGAGTTTCCTCAACTCCTCCAGGTCGCAGTGATGCTTTTTGACTTTTAAATGATCCATTCGCTTGTGCACGGTGGTTCTCGGGATGTTTTTGAGCAGGTCTGTGAAGACCTGAGAGAGTGCAAACATTTGCTTTCCTTTAATGATGAGGTAGCCGAGCCTCACGCCATCCACCTCTTCAAAACCCGACTTCAAGTCTCCCATTTCGCGAATTAAATTATTCCCGGCATTTGCAGAGAGAGAGAGAGAGGGAGGGAGGAAAAAAAAAACCCACACACACACAATCCTCAGCCAGATGCTGTATTTGTCTCAAGGCATCCTGCTAATAAAATAACAAAGACTGTTATTCCTGGTCAATGGCGTACCAAACTTTAGACTAAATTAAAAAAAAATCAAAGCAAATCAAACAAAAAACCCATGTGAAACTACAATCGATAGTTCTGATTTTTTTTAATCTGGTTTGCCAAAGTGTTTCTCTAAGTTGCTGCTGAAGATCAGTACCTGTTCCCTTTCATTCCCTGCTTTTCCATTGGAAACTATGATAATGGAATGTGAAGGGAGGAAGAGAAAAGAAATGCAGCTGCTATTCCCGCCGCTGCTTTAGCTACAAATAAAATGACAGAGTGAAGTGAGCTCGTCCGGAGACACCTTCATCAATTAATTCCCCTAAAGCCAACGCTGATTGGACACTCCTGACAGGTGATGCAATAAAAATTGATATTCCACCCCTTCCCCCAAAAAATCTCCCACTAATTAGCATACCCTTATACTGCCACCTCCCCTCCCAAAGTAAATAATACAGTTAGTATATAAATCTTTCTATTAAACAATCTGAGCTCAAATCCACTTAGACCTCTCAGGCTTCTTCATCGCTAGCTCCATGTGAAGGATTTGTATGCTTTTTGATATCATTTTGTCTATATTTAGAATATTTTGGACAAATGTGGCTCTTTGGTGCATGGCATGGATTTAAGAGACAGCAGCATGATCATAGCGATGGAAAATTCTTTGGTAACGTGACCATTGGAAACTGGAATTTTATTCCGCATTACGTGGAAAATGAAGCTTAGCGAAAATGTGCAGAATAGCCTGGTATTTCCCTTTCCGAGGCTCCAAACTTAAATGCTCGATTGTTAACAACCAGAGGGAATACTTACGTTTTTCGAGTTTCTCTTGATTTTCCTCTTCTGCTTAATTGTCTTTTACAGCCAATGGCTAATTTTGTTTGTATTTATTTTGGTGCTGCCTGCATATCGAGGGTTCCAGCCCCGTCATACTGTAACACTTTTAACTGAAATTCTGCCTGTAATACTGGGGGAGGGGGAGGAGGACGTGGACTCACGTCAGACCTATAACAAAGCATAGATAAGCCAGAAATGGATACACTTTTCACAATTAACCGTGCTGGAGCACAAACTGGAATGTCCTATGGTCCCGGAGTCCACGTCAGGATTCCTGTGTGCTGATTACTTCCAGCAGAGAAAGGAGAATGTAAAATGTCCAAGGTGCTTCCAGAGGCTTTACGTAATAACAAAAAAGTGCTGGCATACCACGCACAATGTGCAATGGGCTAGGATGCGCCTGCTTCGCAGTGTGCACGGTCGGTGTGGAGCAGCCCCTCTGCAGCCTTTTGATGTTCCATTTATACCAAGCCTTTTAAAAATCAATTTGAAGAAGCAGCATGAAGGTTTAACCTCTTCTTAGTGACGTTCAATTATTTTAGTGTCAGGCGCAATGATTTCGAAAATGTTGCAACAGCAGCAAACCTCTTCCTTGTTAAATTAAAATGATGTTTGCGGTTTGCATGTCAAACGCTGCAAATAGAACTAACTATCCGCCGTTAATCAGTTTTCAACTGAAAACTAGATATAGCACAAGCACTTTTGTGTCTAGCAGGAGTTCCTCGCTTGTCCAAAATTAGACATCCGTGTGATTAAGAAAACAGCTCATATTTCTAGGTCTAAAAAAAATATGTATTTTCTTCAAAGTCCAAAGTGCGATTTCCCACTCTCTCTACTGGCAACATGGTGAATGGAGTTCGTGTTACGCCATCAGGTAGAGCTCAAATAAATAAAAACAGCAGCCCCTTTTTTTCAAATATTTTCAGCAGTTTGGCATGAGCAGGCGAGATGCCCCCAGCCCCTAGGTCCGCAGGAATTCTGGAGAGAACCGGGAATTTCAAGAAGTGCAGCCGGAAATTAAGGAAGTCTATTTAGGAGAGCCTCTAACTCGGAAGGTTGAGATTTGAAAAGTCAGCCCTAGACTACTGTTGCTCTCAGCACAGATGTAATCGCCGCTCTTCAACTTAATCCATGTGTGTACAAACCACGATGTCTAGTTCTTCCCTTTGAAATCTAAGGATAGTATTCCCATCCAAGAAATCAGAGCTAGAGCAAATTACATTTTGTCCCTTGAATTAGAAAAGGATCATTGAATGGATCTCGTGATATTTCAGCCTTTAAACGTAACCGAGAGGCAGCAGTGAACAATGCCTCGTCACAGCTAATACCATCCACAGAGTTAGCCTTCTTTTGCTCTGCATCTGGATCTATCAGCGTACATTTTTCTTTCTCGCTCGCACAAGAGACATCATGTTATATTCTATAGCTGAAAGCAAAGTTTCGAGGGAAAACAGCTGCTGGTGTTAAAAAGAAATCATCGTAGTCTTCCTAGAGCTAGAGACAATAAGGTCGTTTAAAAATTCCTCCTGATGTACTTATATGCTGCTGGCACCCCCACCCCCTCCCCGCGGCTCTCCTCCCCCTGCTTTAAGGTTAAGGCTATGGAGTCAAACAGTAAAGAAACCGTAAACTCCGAGAAAGCTTTTAAGAAGACATTACAGAAAAAAAGGTGGGCTCACAAGTCATTGCTTTGCCAGGTAGTTCGGTTGTCCTCGACTCCTGTTTAAATCCAAACACTCTCTTTTACTCCAGATGATAGTCTGGCAATAGGATCCAGGAACTATTTAAAAAATGCATACTTTTTGTTTGTTTAATACAGGCGCTATCAAATGTTTTAAACTTAGTAGCGGCTTTTTGCCAAACCTATCTTTTCAGAAAGGTACAGCCATGAGCTTCTGGGGTTAGCCGGAGCCAAATGTTGATAGAGGAAAAAAAGCTAGAAGTCTTTAGGAAATGTTATACATATATACACACATGTACACAATATCGTTACACACACACACACACAAAATGTACACAATATAATCACACACACTCACACACACACAGTTTCAGTTGCAGGGCTTTCTCCACATCACACACAGAGGCTTTTGTTTCTTTAACTTCTCCATCATTTTGTTGTGCAAAATGAACCAGGCAGCTTTCATGGGGCCATCAGCACACGTTGTATATCCGGGGTCTTCTTCAGGCACATTGGGGGTAGATCCTGCTAGCGAGATGTGACGGAGGCCCCTGGCACACGCACGCACGCACACACCCATTAAAGGCAGGGGACTCTAAAATGGATTTCCACGCACACAAGGGATTGCGATCAATAGCTACCAACATTTATGGCTTAGATTATTAATGTGAAAGCTGGGCAAAAGAATGAAAATGAAAAATTAAAGGTGTCTGTTATCAATTACAGTAAAAGTTATGCAATAATTTACTTACTTGGTGTGTGTGTATGTGTGTGTGTGCGCGCGCGCGCGCGCGTGTGTGTAGATCCAGCTGTATATATTGCTATCTCTCAAAAGCAAGGTAGTGTCTGGCAATTTTGTTGACCGTGTCAGCCTCACTTAAAATCAACGATGAACACGATTAAAAAGATGGATGTTTGTCTCACATTTCTTTAGTACAGAACGTCTGTAGTGCCCGTTTTGCCAAACACATATACACACGCAACTATATATAGTTGCGTGTGTATACACACGCACACACACGGAGGCTATCAATCAAATGTGCTCCTTTTCACGATGAGTAGCGTGCAATCTGCAATCTACACCCTCTCGTAGGTAGTATTTCAGTTTGCAAACTGGCTGGCCGAAGAATAAACCTCTGTAGAAAATAATATGAATAATATGCTGCTGTGGAACAGATTCCATACTTCGATGTTTGTGAACTCGTGTTAAAAGATCCAGGTTTGCAGTAAACGTGTAACTATATCGCTTCACAAAAAGGAGACGTATATATAACGTTTAACATCCTTTTTGATGTGTTCTGATTTATTTTCATTTTATGATGATGTTTAAATACCACTGCGATTCAGCCTGACCTCTTCCTTCTGGAGCTAAGTAATGCACACACCATTTACAGTCTTTTAAACGTTTAGTTGGGAAATGCAACAGCAATATCCAGCAGCAGTTGGACTAATGGAAAGACTTCTTTTGAAAACCTTCAGGAAAAACTACGGGGTCATGTGCATTTTCACACTAGGATTGCCACATTATTAGAGTATTATTATTTATTATTATTTGTTAAGTGCCAGACTGTATCTTCAGGTATTGACAAGCATTAAATAAACCTTTTCCTTTCATGAGCCCTGATGTAGAAATATATAATTTAAATGAGAAGTATATTTTCTAACCTTAGCACTGTTTTAGATATCACTATGCATATTTTCTTCAAAGAGGCTACAGACAGAAAACAGTGCAAGGCTATCACAAAGAGTCCAGTAACGTAAATATAATAGGGTCAAAGAACACTATAATAGGGTCCTTCTGCTATTTTAAAGTCGGCCCAGTGTGACTGTAGTGCTTAAAACTTGTTGTAAATTCTAAGTTAGCAAAAATAAGAAGGTATAACTAAATTAGTCAAATATGTGGAAGATAAATCCCAGCTGACAGTCCAAAAATCATAGCATAATTTATCTAGCATCATCACGCCTGTGAGTTATTTCTTTGTAAACAAAGCAAGGAGGTATTGTTGCACGTTTTTAAGTTTTATTTTCTACATGGCTGTACTACTTACGCACCAGAATGTTGTACGGTGCATAAAAAGCACAAAATAACAGTCTTACTTGATGTTGATAGTCTTGGCTGTTTTAAAATACAGGTTTTTAACAGGAGTTTTTGGACACATACTGCATGCCATGTTGTCTACTGACCCATAATCAAAATGCAGTGACCTTCTACCCTTTTTTTGCCCCTTGACCCATCCTGAATTCAATGCAGCCTTTATAAATTTGCAAATCCTTGGACGTAAAGGGGATTTGGTGAGGCTTTGTTCTGGAAGGATCCTAAAAGTTTGCATTTTTTAATTAGACAAAGGTAAGGCAACAAACTGGGGAATAAGATTATTTCTTACATGCAGGTGCTCCGTATTCATTTTTATATTCAAGGACTGTATCCTGGAAAAACAGATTCTGCAAGCTGAAAAGCAATTGCAAACATAGGAG